CCCACCTGAAGGGGTGGGGTTGAACCTTATTCCTCTTCCTGGGAAGGTCTCCTCCCTCCCTCGCCCCCATACCAGGAAACAGGCCCCCAAGCCAATTCCTTCTCCATGTTGTCACTGAGAAGTCCCTCCACTCTGGCCGCCTCTCTCCAATCCCATGACCTCTGCTCCTCTTCTGTCCTTATCACTTCCCACATTAACTGTCGCAACAGCCTCTTGCCCTTCCTGCTGCCACCTCCACAATCTGGCTGCAACAACTTCACCAGATTTAGCCTCCTAAAATAAATAATCTTATCACTCTTGCCTAGTTAAAAAACCCTCTGGATCCCCATATTTTAAGAGGTCTCAGCCCTCAAAGGCTCCTCTCCCCACTTGCTAAGTGCCCTACTGAACCCAAGGTGTGCTCTCATCCCTGCCCATCTCAACTTCCACCCAGGCTAATGCTGTGCCCAGCACACCCTTCAAGACCCAGTTCAAATACCACTTCTTCTTTAAAGTCTTTGCCAGCCCCAATGGCCACCTATCCCTGTTGGTACCAATTGTCCTGGGATAATTACCAAAAGCACCACAGTGAACTTCTCAGTGCCCTGCAGTGACAAAATATATGGCCCTCCTACCCAAAAACTACCCTGACCCAAAGACAGAACTGGTTACTTGTGTAACTGGATCTTCTGCTAGAGCGTATCGTCCTCAAGGGCAATCAAGCCATCTTGTCCTGGTGTGTACTTCCAGCATCTGAAGACAGCCAGCACCTGGGGATGTGCTCAGTGAATATAGACAGAATGAAAGAATGAATCCGATGCTAAGAAAATTGCAGCTATTAAATTTATCTAAATTTCATCTCCAATGCCAGTGGGGAAGTGTTCTAAGTCAGAATTAGATCTAAAAAATCTTGAAGCCAAAAAAGCAGGCCACAAAAGCATCTGTCACATAAACCATTTCTTTCCCTAATTCAGTGTTTCTCAACTTTGTCTTTATTATTGCCCTCCACCCAGGGATCTTTTTTTAGACTTTTTCCTAACCACAAACCACGCCCTACCATGAAATTTCAATAGCACCAAGATATATCTGTGCTTTATATATAAAAAGAGCAAGTATAAAGTTTACTCTTTTTATTCAATAATGGGTTCAGAATGACAATAAAAATTTTAAGTCAAACTTTAAAATTTAAAATAATTAACACTAAATTTTATAACTGTGTTTGCTGAGTAACTTTTGAAATAATTTTAAAGTAAAATGTAATATATCAAATTACTTATAAAAATTAGCAATTTCTACATAATAATAACAATGTAACCAAATTTTTCAAAGACTTTCAAAACTGTTATTTTCCCAGCAAAGGTAAAACAATTTTAAAAATTATCTTCTTAGAAGTTATTTTTAGTAAATTTAACTTTTGTTTCATATGAGAAAATAAATTTTAACTTATCTAGTTGTTAGATATTCATTCAGATGACATTGATATTTTCTCTCTTCAATACTTGACATAGTTTTTGGTGAGTTGGATAACTTTAATAGGATTAAATAATAAAATATAAACTATTTTCATCTAATTTTCAAACCCAAAGTCGCACACAAAGCAGTGAGGACCAAACAGAAACAACATTCACAAGGCAGCTAATGGCAGCCCATACATATGAGGTCACCAAGAGAGACAAGATTTCAAAATCAAGCAACTGATGCACAGAAAGTCCTCTAGTCATAGCCACCTACTTGCCGTAGGTTTGCAGTATTCACCTTGCATACATTCTATATGTCTTCCATGAACTTGATGTCAGCTTTGCTTGTATAATACCCAAGAAAAACCAATGAGAAATTTAAATGTTAAGAAATAAAATTTTGTCCACCAAGCTTTGAAGGGCCACAGACCACTGAAACATCTAAGATGTTTTTGCCTCCCTCCAGATCCAATTTTTGCCATCCTTGAGGTTGTGAGCCCTCACCTCTGTGTTCCTACATTTATCCTCCCAGCACCTAAACAGGAAAAAAAAAACAAAACACACACACCAACCAGTTTACCTAAGAAAACACTCCATCCCACAGCTATCATAAGGGCCCCTCTACTACCATCATCTTTGAAAGAAAAGGGATTCCCAAATTATTAGCCCTTCTCCCAGAAAAGGAGCCCCACCCCACCTCCAAAAGCACTGATTTTTAGAGCTGGAAGAACACTCAGGGCTCATGCAGCCCCTCCATCTTCAGATAAGGAAACTTTATAAAGCCCTAAGAGATTGAGAGAATGGTTCAGTCAAGGTCACTAGCTAGAGACCTTGTCAGTCTGGGTCACTGTTGTATCTCCAAGCTAGCACTGGGCTTGGCATATAACACAGTCAGATGTTTGCACACATAATGAATGAATGGCTACTGGGCAAATTAGTGACACAGTTCAGAACCCAGGTCACCTAATTCCTAACCTACTACTTTTTCAACTACACCAGTCTGTCCCCTTTCACTTTCCTAAAGTATCAAATAGTGGCTGCAAAAACTATCACATTTATATTAAGTGTTTGAAAAGCTTCCTAGCTCTTTTAGTTTCACACACCCAGTAAGTTGAAGAGCAGGGTGTTCAGCGCGCATGGTAGAGTGCTTCAGTCCAATGAAAGAGAGGGGTTGTCTACAAATAATTAAACCCAGTCTACAACGTTCTACTTCTTACATGCTTACCCTGCCCTGAACTCTCTTCTAGAATTCTTGTTCACATGTCATGTCTCCCGACCCAGACTGAGAATCAGAGAGAGCCAAACTGCCTTCTCTTTCTAAGAGAATGTTTAAGCACAAAGCAAATGTTCAATAAATGTTTGCAAAATGTATTCCAATGGAAATAGTGCACCAAGAAGGACAAAAGTGGATTTGGCATGAACAAAAAATTCTGTTTGTACTTTGCTCATTTCCTAAGACCAGTACAGTATCTAGCATGTAATATAAGCCTAACAGTTACAGGGGTTTTTTAAAAATAAAACAAATGAAAGATATGGCAAAAACTGAGAAATTATTAAGCATCATTTTTTTCTGCAGTCATCCATTCATTCAACAAATACATCTTTACCAAGCACCTGTGTGCCAGGCTCTGTAATCTAACTTCCCCCACAGAGCTAATGCCTTCCTTCCGAGCAAACGCGTGGCAGTCGGTTCATCTCGCAGGCAGTGGGCACAGCTAGGGTAGCCATATGTCTCAATATGCCCAAGACAGTCCCAGTTTACAACTACTGTTCAAGCGTTAATTACTAACAGCATCCCCTTTCTCTCTCAACAATGTCCTAGTCTAGACAATTATATAGCCCAAAGTGTAGCAAATCTTTTTCAACAAGAAAACCAGAGATTCAAAAATTTCACTCCATGTTTACCAGCTACTCTCAGTCTTGTTTCCTCATTTCATACAGGCATACCACTGATTTAACTAAATGGTTATATGTAGAAAAGCGGCTGGGGACAAGCCTGGGCCATCAGACTGACACCATAGTGTGGAGAGCCCTGCATGTCAAGAACACAGATACTTAGCAGACAACAGGGAGCCATAAAAACTTCTGAGGAAAGGAGTGCATGTATGGTCAAAGCACCATGAAAGTGTTACAACCTTGATTACAAAAAAGATCCAAGACAGAAGGAATGAAAAAAGCTGGCTCTAAGTCATACCAAAAAGAGAGCCTAAAGCTATAAAGAAAGGTTGTCACAGATAAAAACAGCCACAAATATGTTATTTCATCATTTGCCTTTATGTGTAGTTTAACATTTTCAACAATAAATAGATGCTGGTAAGCAACTCTAGCTCATTGGTCTGTGGTCTTGAGACCCTCGTTCCTTGCAAGGGACAGGCTATTAGGAAGCTTCTGGACAGTCTGGCTTGTCCTCTTGTCAGCCAATAGTGTAAAGGGGCTGGAGCTCAGTTTTTGTCTTTTTATTTTAAGGGCTACGTTTAAAACATAGTATTCATTGTCAGGAGTTTCCCGACAGTGAACAGATGGGCAGGAATCTTAACCCACCAACTCCAGATCTTCCACTATTGCATCATTTGAAACTAAGTCTCCTCAGGCAGCGATTTGTAAAATTCAAGTCAGGTAAAATGGCAGATTTGTGGGTGCTGCTGCTGCTGCTACTGCTACTGCTGCTACTGCTGCTAAGGCTGCTTGCTGGCGGTCTCAACTTCAAGCGCAAGAGAGCGCGCCTCTCTGGAGCTGCCAACTGCTCAAAGGAACAATCAATAAATCAACAGGTCCTGCGCGCCAGCCCGGGGGTGCTCAGACACGGGCGCGCCAGCCACAGGAGGAAGTGGCTAATTATTTAAAGGCAGTTGAGACCACTGCAGGCCAGAGTCGGTTCTCCAAGCGACTTCCCTTCGTCTACCACCGACACTGGAGAACGGGAAAGGCCCGGGCTCCGTGCACGGCGGGGAGAGCACCAATTCCTGGGCTGCTGTTCCGGGCTCTCAGCCATCCAGCCCCTCAGCAGCCCTGCCCTGTCCGCTGGCGCAGACACCCCAGGGGCTCTTTCTTCCTCCGTCTGCCCCACTCCTCTCATCGATTGCAAGCCTTTAGGTTCTGCCACCGGGAAACTTCCATAGAAGGTGAGACTCCCAGGTCTAGAGACGATTCCACAAGCTCCAAAGGGCCAGTGTCGGGACTTCACGGTCAGACTTCATAAAGCCCAGGCGTCCCGAGAGAGGCTCAGAACAGCTCTGTGCTGAGGCTCCTGCGCTCCGGCGCGCTCTCACTCATTCACCCGCGAACCGGACGTGGTGCCCTCGATCCCCACGACCCCGCAATGCCGGCGTCAAGAACCTCGGCAGCGCCTCGGCTCCGAGCGCCGCAGAAACCTTCCTAGCTCCCGCAGGGACATACCCTCCAAGTCTAGATGCCCTCACCCGCAACCCCTGTCTCTTCCTCCAGGCGGGAGGCTGCTTGTCCCAGGCTGGGAACCAAGGGGGCGGGACCTTGGCAGTCCCTGCTGGGCTCACCCATCCCTCCCGGGCTCCAAGGGCAGTGCCCACATTCCCCACCGGCCGGTACCTCGTCCGCTTCCAGCTCTGCTCCGTTGCCTACGAGCGCCATGTTCCTCCTCCGGCTGCCACCGCCCAAAAACCAAACAGGGAGCTCAGGGCCAACTCGGTTTCTCGGCTCGGGGCTCAGCCCAGCGCCAGCGAGGGAGGAAGGGGGCGGCCCCGCGCTCCCGCCGGCTCCGGGGCGGGGCCAGCGCGAGAGGAGCGCGTTTTCCCCGCCCCCGGCGCCAGCAGACCGGCAGAGCACCCATTTCCCGAGTTGACACCGGGCGGCCAGCCTCACCGCAAGCTCCGCCCCTTAAGGGCTCGCCCCGCCCCCTACGCGGCTCCGGCCAAAGCAACCAATCAAGTACCCGCAACGCGTCTCCGCCTCCAGCCAGCATCCACCTCGGACCCACGTGGGCGGGGACATTCCGTGGGCGGAGTCATTCCGTGGGCGGAGTCACCCGTGGGCGGAGTCACTCGCAGACTTCGCGGGTCTGGCCCACCCTCTGGGAAGGCACCTGAGAGTACCTGCTTCCTGCGCTCCGCCCTGGAGCCGAGAGCGCGCGCGCCGGGTTGACCAGGCCAAGGTCAAAATCGCGCTACCCCGCAGCCCATGGAAGCGTCCACCGGCCTTTAGGCCAATCCCAGTCCCCTTCCCTTGCCAGGTGCACACTGCGTCTTGCAGATGGTGAGGCCAGAGGACAGCCTTGGGTCAAGGTCACCTGTCATCCAAAGACCTCTGTCATTCCACCTGCCCGGACATTGGGTCAAGGACATCAACTTCAGATACAGGGACGCTGTGTTTGCTTCTGTATATATTTGAAAAACAAAAGAAAAACCACGAGAAAGACATTTTTACAACTTAGAGCTCCTCTACCACTCCTCCCAACACCCTGTCACACTGACCCCTTTTGTAACTCCAAACATACGTGCCTAAGTTGTGCTTGAACTATAAGCTCCATGAGGGCAAGGGTGCTGTTTGTTTTCTTCAAGGCTATATCCCCAGCACCTAGAACAGTGCCTTGCAAGTCATAGGCACTCAACAAACATTTGTTGGCTTAGTTTAGAAATTGATTCCTGCAACTAACATGTCAAGTAATTGAACTATCCAACTGGAAAATTAAAAGCCATATGTTTAAGGTTTTTTTATCAGCTTTATTTTACATCCAATAAATTCACCAAGTTTGTAATTTGATAACAAATGTTTACAAAGCACCATCCCAGTCATAAATTAGAACACTCCCCAAAAGTTCCCTGTGTCTCTTTGCTTTCAATTTCCATCCCCAACTCTGACCTCTGGCAACCAGTTAATCTGCTTGTTTTCCTTGTTATCACGATCATTTTGCCTTTTCTAGAATGTCATATACGTTAAATCACAGAGCATGCAGTCTTGTGTCTGGCTCATTGACAATTATAAAAATTGCTAACATTTATTGAGTATTATGTGCCAGGACTATGCTGAGCCTCTTTCATATATAATTCATTTATCCTTCATAACCCCATGAAGTAAGTAATGTTAATTTACAGATTACTAAACTGAGGCTCAGAGAGCTTAAGGAACTAGTTTCACATCAGACAGCTATTAAGCAAGTAGGGATGCCAGAATTGAACTCTGGCAGTCTGACTCAAGGGTGTGGCTGGTAACCATTGCTCTGCACTGCCTCTAGCCACCACCTTGGCACTCTTTCTCCATATCTGTTTCAGTAGAGCAGCAGCCTGCACATGTCTACCATATACAGTTTCAGTGAGTCACCTTCGCATCCTTGAAACTTCCTCTGCAATTTTAATGATTCACTATGGACCTTTATCCTAGAAAAATCAAATGGTTTCTAAGCCACAAACACCATGAAAAAAATGGATTAGATTGTGGTGATGATTGCACAACTCAGTGAATTTACTATAAATCCTTGAACTGTTTAATTAGAATGGGTGAATTTTATGGACATGTACATTGTATCTCAATAAAGCCATTTTTAAAAACAAGTTAACTTGTTTTCTAAGTGCTCTTAGAATTAGATATGTGGGGCTAGAAGGGACCTCGAGGTCATTTAATTCCAATACCCCTGTAAGTTTCTACTTCTCCCTCAACCTCCTGTTTATGCTTAACTTTCTAAGGCTGGATTTCCTGTTTGGGTCCAGAATCTACTCATGCATGATTTCATTTTTTAAAGTTCATTGGCTCCTAAATTAATATCACATTTTTTGACATTAAACCATTTGTTGGTGGCTTCTTCCACACCTGTGTGCTTTGTTGTTGTCTTTCGAATTTCCAGTCATCAAATTTTGAAGAGACACAGAAGAATTTGGCTCTAATCAGTGACATGATTATGTTATAACGAGAATCACATTTAACTTTTCAGAAACCATTCTTATAGTTTGGTAGCTTTTTAAAAAAAAAAACAGGGATCAAATCTGAAGCCTCGTATGTTTTAAATTCATGTCACTAGATGAGCAACATTCCTATTTCTGAGAGAGCCAATGATGAACACTGAATGAGTAAGTGTGTTCTAGACACTGGAACATCTAATCAGATTTCCTTTGCTTGTGGCAGATGCAAACTTTCTTTTCTTGCACGTGTGTGATTCTACAAAATTATGAATCACAGATATAAAACAGCCCTTCTCAAAGAATAATTAGAATGGATTCATTTTTGTAACAGAATTCCCCTTGCCAGTTTGGTGGTAATGTTGTACTCTATCAGTCAAGTGAGATTAGTCAGATATTCCATTTCCCAAAAGAAGCTAGCATAGGGTTTGGCAAGAGCAGTGTCTGAATTTCTTGTATTCTGAAGATAAATTTACTGGGAGCTGTTTGGGTTTCAAAAGAAACCTAGTATTGCAGACAATTTAATCTTTAGTATTCCTAAACCTGCTACCCTTAACAGATATAAGGGTTTTTGTTGATACTTGATTTAAATAAAAATTGCATCTTCATCATTTATGTAGTAGGAAAGACAATGGTTTTGAATTTAGAAATGAAAACTTTTAGATGCTCGTATCATTTTAGTCATGGGTTTGTCAATGGCTTTGTCTCACATTCATATCTTGGCTCAAGAAGGAGAATTTCCCCTTCTTAAATTAGCCCCTCCCTCCCAATCACATGCTACCATGTCTTCCTGCTGCCTTCTTAGCACTTAACACTCTCTGAAAATATCTTGTTCATTTATCTGCGTACTTGCTTATAGACAGTCTATCTCCCTCAACAGCAACGCCCACACACACTGTAATGTAAGCTCCACAAGGGCAAGAACCTTTTGTGCCTACAAGAAACTCCCAGTGCCCAGCAATTAATGGATGCTTAATAAGTGGTTACTGAGTGGAATGAAAGTATAAAAAGTTCATAGTACACAGAGCATTTTGTTTAGATCTTATAACACCAATGGTTTAGCATAATGATTTTTTTTAAAACAGAGAAAACCAGTAATAATGAGGGAGGTTAAAGAACACAAATTACATGAAGTCTAAAAAGTAAATACTGTTTTTCTTAGGATAATGTGGCAGGCACGATGACTATCTTTAATGCCTACTCATTTTTTCAAAATTATACAAGAGCTAAGCACTTAGAAGTCCCTTGGTAATCTATAGGGAATTAGTTCATGTCCCTGGGAGAGGTTTAAATGCTAGAGGAAAAAAACTCCTCATTTAGTGGAGGCTGAAGTCCTCCCTTAAGAATGTCCATGCCCTAGGCCTCTGGAGCTGGGTAAACATTCATTCTGCCCTGTTTATCAGTTTTGTTCACTTTTTTTCACACACATCCATATACAATCCTTTCAACCACCTTCCTACTTATTTTCACTATATTTCTCTAAATTAGATTAATCTCATTTTTTCAGAAGAGGGAAGAGAGACCCACAGAAGAGAAAAGCAGAACAGAGGCTAACTGTGGCAATACAAAACCTCAGAGTGCCGCGTTGAGGATTTAAAAACAAGAATAAATAAGGAATCTATGACAGAGGCTGCTCATCGCTGTCTTCTGTTCGTCCTCCCCTTGTTCTTTGGTAAGAGAACCTGATTTATATAATGCAGCATGGTGCCCAGCTAAAAGACTGCATTTTCTATAGCTCCTTTACCACTAGGAATGGCTAATACAACTAAATTATGGCCAATGAAATATATTATATTTGACTTCCAGGAAGACTATTTAAAGGGAAATGACTGAACAGAGGCATGTGGCACTTTTGCCCCTTTTACAGACATGATGGTTGGGGCTCCTGCTCCCCTACTGGACCATAAAATAACACCTTGAGAATGCAAGCCGTAAACTAGAATGTGGAACAAAAAGACAGAAGGAGTCTGGATTCCTGATGACCGTGGAGTTGCCATATAAATTCTTGACTCCCAACCTCTTTCTATTACGTTAATTTCAATTACAACCTTATTTAATCCACCATTACATTGAGTTTTCTGTTGGTAACAAACAATCCTAAATCTAAACATATAAGTACCTAATTCAAAGGGTTATTAGATGTTCTGGGTTCCCATATTCCTTTCCACTGCCTTCAGCTAAAGTAGTTGCAACTTCTGGCCAGGGCTGGATTGGAGTAGCCTACTGGGAGCACTCACCCAGGAAAGGAGTCACAGACATAAACCTCCTCCGTAAGACATGCACATAGTAGCATCTAAATTCTAAAATCAGTTTTGACTTAGCACTGCAGCAATTAGTTCTAAGTGTCTCTAAAGCAATGCACCAAACAAAAAAGTCTGTTCTCAAACTTGAGCACGCACCAGAATCTCTTAGTGGGCTTGTTAAGTCACAGATCGCTGGCTGTAGTCCCCAGAGTTTCTGATTAGGTAATCCGGGATGAGGTCTGCTTAACAATGTGACTGACGCTGATAATTCAAGAGCCATGACTTAGGAACCACTGCTCTCAGACATGGCAAGTAACTTGAGTCCCTCAGGCACAAGCAGACTACCTGCCAGATAGAGCCCACAACTACAGGTTCAAGAGGAAAAGCTAGGAAAGTGCTTTTGTGTGGCTACTTCGCACACAAGGACTAACACTGACATTTTATCCAAACAGAAAGCTGTGACCGTTTTCTCCTTGCTATTCTTCCATCAATAAGGAAAACAATCTAAGTGGAAGAATGTAGCTTTATTTTTGCGTGATTCAATAAAGCCACTTTCGTCTCACTCTCATAAATTTTTATTTTTGTCCAATTGACCAACATGCAAAAGAAGTGAGTCCTCACTGGTCCAGGTGAGCCTGACTCCCACACAGATACTGGACCACCAGTAACAGAGCCTCATTTCCTAACTCCTGAGACCGAAAAGGCATTGTGACCTTTGAACAGTCTACTCCAA